GGTATAGAATTAAAAAAGGTTTTAATGTATTCACAGTTAGGTAACCGTCACCACAATCTCAACTTAAAACATTTTTATTAGCCCCTGAATGTCTATTTTTCATACTATGTCTATTAACTATACTATACGATGTTTTGTCATTGACTCCTTTCACCTAGAATAATTTTTCAAAGTTCATCCATATTGTATTATGTGTCAACAATTCATTCCTTTTATGGCTGAATAATATTCCATTGTATGGAGATATCATGTTTTATTTATTCATTCATCAGTTGATGTACATTTGGATTGTTTCTTCGTTTTTGCTGTTATGAATACTGCTACTGTGCACATTCATATACAAGTTTTTGTGTGGATATGTTTTTATTTCTCTTGAATAGATAAATAAATAGAAAATTTCTGGGTTCTCTGACAAGGCTATGTTTAATGTTTTGAAGCATTCCCAAATTGTTTTCCAAAATGGTTGCAGCATTTTACGCTCCCTCCAGCAATATATGAGTGTTCCAATTTCTTCACACCCTCACAAATTTGTGACTATTTGTCTTTTTTAGTAGAGCATTTCTAGAGACTGTGAAGTGGTATTTCATTGTGGTTTTGATCTGCGTTTTTTAAATGGCTAATGCTTTTGAGTGTCCTTTCCTACCTTACTGGCCATTTGTATGTCTTTTTTTGGAGAAATGTTCATTTTCAGTTAGCTCGTGCTTTTGTTATTGAGTTCCTTATCAGATACGTAATTTGCAAATCCTTTGTACCATTTCCATGTTTTCTTTGGCTTTCTTGAGAGTATAATTTGCTGCGGAAACATTTTTAATTTGGATGAGGCCTAATTTGCTTTTTCGTTTGTTGCTGCTGATTTTGATGTGTGTAACAAGATTTTGCTGGATCCAAGTTCATAAAAATTTATGTTCTCTTCCGAGAGTTTTTAGTTTTAGCTCTTACATTGACGCACATAATACATTTTTAGTTAAATTTTGTGTGTGGTAGGAAGAAGGAGCCCAACTTTATTCCTTTGTGTATGAATATTCCATTGTTTTATCAATATTTGTTGATAAACAATTATTTTCCCATTGAATGCTCAATTAACTGCAAATGTGAGCATTTATCCAAACTCAGTTCTGTTCCATTGATGTATATATCTTGTGCTAGTACAATATAGGTTTGTAGTAAGTTTCTAAATCAGAATCATGAGATCTCAACATAGTTCTTCTTTTTCCAGATTACTTTCTCTGTTTTGGGAATCTTGCATTCCTATATGACTTTTGATATTAGCTTGTCAATTATTTTTGAAGCTAATGAAATTTATATTTTATTGACATATGATTGTACATATATATGGAGTACAGAGTGATGTTTCCGTACATGTATACATTGTATGATCCAATCATGCTAATTAGCATATTCATCACCTTAAATATTTATCACTGCTTTGACATGAGAACATTCATGACAAAAATCTTCTCTTTTAGAGATGTGAAATATACAATGCATTATTGTTAGCTGTAGTTACCCTACCGCGCAATGGAGTAGCAGCATTTCTTTCTCCTATCTAACTGTAGCATTTCACCTGTTGGCCAACTTCTCCCCTTCTTCCCATTCTCATTAATCTCCTCAGTCTCTGGTAACCACTGTTCTACTCTCAACTTTATAAGTCCATTTTTTTTAGATTCCACATATGGATGTTATCTTGTAGTATATGTCTTTCTGCGCTTGGCTTATTTCACTTAACATAATGTCCTCCAGTCTCATCCATGTTGTCACAAATGACAGGATTTCATCCTTTTCTGTGGGCAAATACTATTTCATTGCGTGTAATATTCTCTTTATCCATTCATCTGTTGATGAGCATTTGGCTTGATTCCATAATTTGGCTATCGTGAATACTAATGCAACAAACATGAGAGTGCAGATGCCCCTTTTCAACATATTGATTTCATTTATTTTAGATATACACCCAGGATTACTAGATCATATGTGCATTAGTCCACTCTCACGGTGCTAATAAAGACATACCAGGGACTGGGTAATTTACAAAGAAAAGAGGTTTAATTGACTCACAGTTCATTATGGCTGGGGAAGCCTCAGTAAACTTAAAATCATGGCAAAAGAAGAAACAAACACAACCTTCTTCACATGGCAGCAGCAAGGCAAAATGCCAAGCAAAAAGGGGAGAAACCCTTTATAAAACCGTCAGATCTAGTGAGACTCACTGTCACAAGAACAGCAGCATGGGCTTAACCTCCTCCAAGACCAAGATTCAATTACTTTTCACTGGGTTCCTCCAAGACACTTGGGGATTACAGGAACTACAATTCAAGATGAGATATGGGTGGGGACACCGCCAAATCATGTCAATATAATTTGTCTTTCTTGAATCTTTAGTGAGGTTGAGCATTTTTTCATATGCTTTTGGGCTGTACGTTGATTTTTCTGTCTATATGATCTGTCCTTAGCTGAAATTAGGGTGTTGAAGTGTGTTATTTTATTGCTCTCTATTTCACCCTTTAGATTTACTAATATTTGTTTCTTTGGGAAAAAAAGCAGCCTTTCACCATTAAGTATGATGTTAGCAGTAGGTTTTTTATAAATGCCCTTTATCGGGTTGAGGAAACTCCTTTCTATTTCTACTTCTTTGGATATTTTTATTAGAAAAGGATTTCATTTTGTCAAGTGGTTTTTCTGTGTCTATTAAGATGATAATTTGGTTTTTGTCTTTTATTCTCTTAATATGGTTAATTACAATGGATAGTTTTAGATGCTTTACATTTGTGGGATAAATTAGATTTGAGATTTGGGATAAATTCCATTGGGTCATGATGTATAATGCTTTTTCAACTTTTTTTATCTTATAAGATAAGTGAAGCAGTGGGAGTGGAGAAGGAACAGAGAAATCTGTAACTGGTTGTGATCAATCAGTTATGTCACCACTGCACTTGGACCAGCTGGTCATGGCATATAACGCCTTTTATATGCTCCTAGATTATGTTGGTTAGTAATTTTTATTTGTATATTCATAAGACATACAAGCCTGTAGTTTTATTTTATCGTGAGGATTTTGTATGGTTTGATTTCAGGGTAATACTCACCTTACAGAATAAATTGTTAAGTGTTCCTCCTCTTTTATCTTTTGTAAGAGTTTGTAAAAAAATTTATATTGATTCTTCCTTAATCCTTTGGTATAATTCACCAGTGAATCTATATGGGCATAGACCTTTCTAGGAAGTTTCTCCATTTAGTAATTCAATCTCTTTACTTGTATTTTTATTCAGACTTTCTATTTCTTCTTGAGTCAGTTTCAGTAGTTTATCTTTGTAGGAGTTTGTCCTTTTTATCTAAGTTATGTTACTTTTAGACATAGAGTTGTTCATAGCATTACCTTATAATCCTTTATTTATTAAAATTTTTTTAGATGGATTTTCACTGTTATTGTCCAGGCTGGAGTGCAATGGCATAATCTCAGCTCACTGCAGTCTCTCTGCCTCCTGGGTTCAAGTGATTCTCCTTCCTCAGCCGCCCGACTAGCTGGGATTGCAGGTATGTGCCACCACACCTGGCTAATTTTGTATTTTTAGTAGAGATGGGGTTTCTTCACGTTGATCAGGCTGGTCTCGAACTCCTGACCTCACATGATCCACCTGCCTCAGTCTCTCAAAGTGCTGGGATTATAGGCGTGAGCCACCAAACCCAAACTTAATCCTTTTACTTTTTAAGGTTAATAATGATGTTTCCTTTTTATAACTGATTTTTGTAATTTGAGTATTCCTTCTGTGTGTGTCTGTCTGCCTGTCTCTCTCATATCAGTCTAAATTTGTCAATTTAATCTTTTATAAGTATTAATTTTTTCTATCATTTTTCTATTTTTCTACCATTTTTATTTCATGTATTTCTAATATGGTCTTAGTACTTCTTTCCTTCTACTTGCATTATATTTTTTGTTTTTATTTTTTAAGTTCCTTAAGATAAAAGGTAAGGTTAGAGATTTGAGATTTTTCCTCTCTCTAACAGAGGCATTTATAACTAAATATTTTCCTCTAAGCACTGCTTTAGCTGCATCACATAGTTTTCATATATTGTTTTATTTTCATGTATCTCAAAGTATTATTTTCCTTATTATCAAGTATATTACATATCTATGTATTACTGGTCCAACAATAGAATTACATACATATTTCTTTGTGTAATTGATTTGCATATCAATTAAGAGAAGAAAGAAGAAGCACACTATTATACTGTCTTTTACAATTACCTATGTAATACATTTACTAGTGCCGTGTGTGTGTGTGTGTGTGTGTATGTGTGTGTGTATTTGAATTAATGTCTCTCTTTCAGCCTGAAAAACTTATTTTAGTGTTTTTTGTAAGTCAGGCTTGCTGGTCTTTGATTCTGAGGGAGGCCCTTTAATTCTTAACCATGTTTCTTAAAGTTTGTTGAACATATTTAAAATAGATACTTTGAAATCTATGCTGAGTTTAACATCTCAAAAACCATTCCTACTGCCTGCTTCATCTGCTGGATATGGGTTACACTTTACCGGTTTGTGTGTGTGTATATGTGTTTGCATGTTTCATCATTTTTGGGAAACTGGACATTTTTCATAGTGTATCATAGAAACTCTGAATTCTAATTCCCTCCCCTCTGTCCCCAGGGTTTGTTGTTTACTCATTTAGTGATTTGGTTAGACAATTTTAGAGAATTTTATTTTCCCCTCTGCATGCAGCTTGTTACAGGAAGTCACATGGTACAACCTTGGGCATGCATACAATATTCCTGAACCATACCCCTCCCCAAATCCCTGTGATGTTAGCCAGGTTTTCATTGATTGTGTCTCTCCCTGATCTCCCTGTTAAGCATCTGGCTGATCTGCCTTTATTAGTATTACACCAGTTTTTAGCCTTTACTAATTCTTAGCTGATTGCTCTAATATTTTTGACAATACCTGGAGCATAAACTCTTCCATAGTTGAATTTAATTACAGTCCAGCCCCCTTTTTTATGGGTAGTTTTTGAGACCTCCTGCAACTGTAGGAGGACTCCTTTTTGAGTCTTTTTTCCTGGCTGTCTCTTTATTTTCTAGCTGGTCTACTATTTAGTTGTTTGCTATAGTGGAGGTAGCAGCTTTCTCTTAATTGCTTATTACCAAGATCTCCATTATTTTTCATAGTGAACTTCTCCCCATTTCTGTTTCAAATGAAATCAGCTACAAAGTTCTCTATTCTTAAAGCCTGCCTCTCTTCCTAGGAAGAAATTTTGTTCCACTGCTCCAGATCTAAGAGTCAGGACAACAGCCTGCTTCTCTCAGAGTGACATCCCTGCTCCATGAGCAGGACACTGAGTGGGATTAGCAGCCCTTGGTCTTTTCAGCTTGCCTCTCCCAATATGGAACCTCCACCCCATGTGTTGGCTAAGGTGGGAGTAGTAGCTGTCCAGTATTCTGGACCTGATAAAACTTAAATAGAACTTCCACCTTACAGTGGTGGCTGGGTAGTGGGTGGTTCGGTAAAGCCCCAGTCCTCCCACACACACTTTACTAGAATGGAGTTTACATACATGCCTTGGTGAACTATGTATGAACATGATGGAGGCCAAGCACCTTTCGGAAAAAAAACCAAAAAACAAAATCATGGACTCATAACTGGGGTAGAAGGATTCTGTATTCTTGGCCACATCTCCCAAGAGTACAGCTTCTGTCACACTGAGTTAGGGGTGGGGACTGAGTGATTAGTGATTCAAATGCCACAAACTCACATTTTTTTTTAAGAATATTTGTTAGATTTTATGAATAAAATATTTATTCATTTGCTATATGCCCTTAGGATGATGCCAGAGGCTTTAAATAGTTGGGTTCAAAAAAAAAAAAGCAGTCTTTGGTAACCAAAACAGCATGGCACTGGTCTAAAAGTAGATACATACCAATAAAACAGAATAGAAATCACAGAAATAAAACCAAATACTTAACAACAAACTGGTATTCAACAAAGCATACAGAAACGTAAATTGAGGAAGGCATACCCTGTTCAATAAATGGTGCTGGGAAAACTGGATCACCACATAAAGAAGAATAAAATTGGATCCCTCTTTCTCATCAACGACAAAAATCAACTCAAAGTGGATCAAAAACTTCAAGCTAAGACCTGAAACCCTTTACAATTCTAGAAGAAAACTTAGGAAAATCTCTTCTGGACATTGGTCTAGGGAAAGAATTTATGACTGAGACCCTAAAAGCAAATGCAGAAAAAACAAAAATAAATACATGGACCTAATTAAAGTAAAAGATTCTGCACCACAAAAGAAATAATCATCAGAGTAAACAGACAACCCACAAATGGGAAGAAAATATTTGCAAATTAAGCACTGACAAAGGACATTAGCCCAGAATCTATGAGGAACTAAAACTAATCAGCAAGAAAAGAAAAATCCCATGTAAAAGTGGGAAAATGACATGAATAGACAATTCTCTAAAGAAAAATGTACAGAGGGCCAAAAATCATGAAAAAATCCTCAACATCACTAAACTCAAGGAATTGCAAATTAAAACCATAATAAAATAGCATCTTACCCCATCAAAAGCATTACTAAAATGTCAAAAACCAGCACATGTTGGTGTGGATGTGGTGAAAGGGAATGCTTACACACTGCTGATGGAAATGTAAATTATTACAATCTCTTTGGAAAATAGTATGGTGATTTTTCAAAGAACTAAAAATAGATCTACCATTCAATTCAGCAATCATCCTACTGGGTATCTACCTCAAACAAAAAGAAATCACCATATCAAAGAGATATTTACACACATATGTTTATTGCAGCACAGTTCACAAATGCAATGATATGGAACTAACCCAAGTAGCCATCAACTGATGAGTGATAAAGAAAATGTGGTATTTTTACACCATGGAATACTCCTCAGCCATAAAAAAAAGAACAAAATAATGTCTTTTGCAGCAACTTGGATGGAGCTAGGAGGCCATTATTTTAAGTGAAGCCATTCAGGAATGAGAAAGCAAGTACCGTATGTTCTCACTCATAAGTGGGAGCTACGCTATGGGTGCGCAAAGGCATACAGAGTGGTAAATGGACATTGGAGACTCAGAAGCCAGAAAAAGGAGTGAGAGATAAAAAACACTACGTATTGTGTACAGTGTATACTACTCGGTGAAGGGTGCGCTAAAATCTCAGACTTTAGCAGTCTAAAATTCATCCACAGAGCCAAAAACTATTCCTACCCCCAGGTCTATTGAAACTAAAAATTACATCATCATTTAATTTTTAAAAATAAAGCTCATCACAGCGAAAAATAAATTTCAAAACAAAATAAAAATAGTTTTTATCAGGTAGAGCTGTTTCACTGGGGAGAGGATCTTCAGAGATGTGCAGGTCACTGTTCCGGTGCTTTTCATATTTATACTTTCATGTATTGATTTAAAATTTCTCTTTCTCTGTTTTACAATGTAAACAATATGTTGGTATTCACAGAAAAAAATAATAAATTCATAAATGCATATAATTCATAAATATACATGTATCGAGTTGCTGAAAATTCTTTTTACCGGTAAGACATTCAGTCCAGTCTGGAGATGGTGTCCTTTGTCCACACGTCTGGTTGTTTTGATTTCCCACTCGGGATGTTTCCAGCTTTTCATCAGGGGACTCATAAGCTCTCTAGATCCCCACTGCGATCATCATCCCCAGCACAAACTGTTGCCAATGATTTCTTTCTAAGCCAACAAAGGAGACGTTCTGGCTCTGAGATCATGTTAGTTTCGGCAATTAAAACACATTAATAACTTTTGAATTCTTTGGCAGAAATATTAAACTGAAACCTTTACTGATTAGGACGGGCATTTTTAGAGCAACAGTTCACAATATCTGTCATTTGCTGCCTGTGAAATATGTAGGAAATTATTAATGTATCCTTAATAATATATTTCTATATACATCTTGTTTACCCTTTGCTTCTTGAAGGCAATATTTTTAGAAAACGATTATCGTTGTCTGTCATCTCTAAGACAGAGAAGTAATTACAGAAATATTGCACTGGACATTTCTGGAAAATTGGCTTTTCAAGTTTTTATTTTTATCTTTGCAAAAGTTTGCTTTTAAAAAGTATAATCTAGAAGTTGTAAACATTTCTTCCTTGCAGTTATCCATTCTGTTACATAAAAAACATTTTAAATGATCCAACATCTGTATGTTTCTACTTGGTCCCAAATGTGGTATCAGATTTTTATTTTTAAAAAATCATAAAACACATCGGCATGATCCTTTTAGGAATACATTTGAAAGTTTACCTCTTTAGCACACTCACCAAACATCTTCGGATACCCATACCATCCACACAAAGCTGCTAAAACCAAGATGCTCCCCCGTAATGCATATGTTCAACGAATAAATAAGTGATTGAAATACACAAGCACTAACTGGAAAACTGTATGTCATACAGAGAACCTCTTCAGGCCTTGAAAATGGAACGTAGTAAAGCGGCTTCCTTGTCCTGGGTTGGCATTCACTGTCCTAGAGCCCGCCTGGAAGAGCTAACTCAAGCACAGCGTTGTTTTCGCCACAGCCGAGTTCCTGCACGCCCCTGCGGGTGCCTCCTAGCGGCGGACTGGGACCTGGCGTTGGGCGAGCGTCTAGGAGTAAACTGCTGAACGCCAGGGGTTCGCGGTGGGCGGCTGGGTGGCAAGACTTTTAAAGCCTCGCAAATGGAACCCTCCCCCCCCCCACGCCCAATCGCCACAGGTGCTCTTTCTGACAGTAAAGGGCCTGGGTCAGAAGTGTGAAGGTTGTGGTCCCACGCTCCAAGCCCGATATGCGGTCGTTCAGCAGTAATTGGGCTGGAAAGATGAAGGCGCCCCGTGTCTGCAGCGAAGGAGTCGGGTGGGAGCGGGAAATGCCCCTGTCCGGCGACCTGCGGGCAACAGCGGGGAGGGGGGAGCCTGACGGTGGAGAGGTGGTGGGGCGGAGGTGCAACGTGGAGCGGCTCAAGGGTTCTGGAAGGGTTCGGGAGGAGCGCGAGGTATGGAGGGAGGGGATCTTGGGGCTGTGCGAAGGAGGGGCGCTTGGAAGGGCGCGGCGTTTGGACAAGGAGGGGCTCGGAGTGGGAGTGGAGGGGCTCCGGGAAGGAGTGGAGGGGTGCGGACGTGCTGGAGGGACGCGCGTGGCTAGAACTGGAGAGACACGGAAAGTCGTAGAGGGGCGGGGCAGTCGCTGGAGGAACCTCTGAGGGGACGCGGGGAACGTCTGAAGGGGTGCTATGTTGGAACTTGGAGGGGAGGGGGATGCTGGAGAAGCACACGGTGATGGACAGGGAGGGACACGGGAGGTGTGGAATGGCGGGACCCGTCGCGGGAAGGACACAGAGGAGCGTAGGCTGCTCTGGAGAGGCGCTTTCGGGGATCTAAGAGGGGCGCTAGGTGCTGGGACTTGGCAGCGCCTGGGGCGGAGGGTTGCTCCGGGTCCAGCCTGGCGCGCTGCGGGGCAGTGCGCGGAGGGAGGTGACGCGCGTCCCGCCCGCGGCGCCCTGGGCTCGGCTGGGCGCAGGACTGCCCTGGCAGCGGTGCAGTATCCCCGGCGAGTTCCTGGGGGATCCCCGGCCCCCGCTTCCCCCCGCGCCCCGGCCAGCAGCACCCGCAGCCCGGACAGGGAAGTGGGCGCCCGCAGTTCTGGAAGCTGCTCCCGCGCCCTGGAGCAGAGTCGTCGCTGCGGTCGCCGAGGAAAGACTGAGCGGAGACCCGCTCTGTCCGGGGAGAAGCCTGTGGTGTCATCACGTCTGGAATGAAGGGAAATGCAGTGGCTGCTTGCGCTCCGAGACTCCAAGAAGTACAGCAGGTAAAGAGAATCGCCACCGCCAGCCACTTCGCCCTCAGTTCCCCAGATTCCTGGGTCCCTCTTTCTCCTCCAGCGTCCTAAACTAACCCCTCTGTTGTTCAACATCCTTATGCCGCTTCCAGCCTACCCCCAGGACTCCATCACAACTCGTGTCCTCTTTCTCCTCGCCTTCTCTGCCCCAGATGGCAGTTTCCTTCCCCTGCGCGCCGTCGTGAAGGCTCAGGGACAAGAGTGAAACGTAATTTAGACAGTTGGCCTTTCTTTGCCCAAAGACTTCGCTAACTGGTCCGCACTCTGCAATGGGACTTAATAACTTCTTGTGTGTCCGCGTGTGTGGTGTGACAGAATGAGAGTTAATTTGTTCTCTGCAAATGATTTTGCCAAAAACATTGTCCTGGGTTGCTTGCTGGCGAGTCTGTAATACCGAGTAAGCGGAGTGTCTGCAAAGTGCAGAGCATAGGGTTTACTTGGGGATTTTAGAGGGGAGTTGAAGCATAGCTGGGCTCTGTCATCTTCAGTGGGATTATATGATAACTTGATGTTCTTCACCACTGTTATACTCATTACCTCCATTAAGTACCAATAATTAATACTTACATATTACTTACATGCTATCACTTGGTTACATCAGAGTTAGCAAGTTGCTTGTTCTTCAATCATTGCTGAGTATTCTGGTGTTTCTGAATATTAGCACAGTACCAGACAGTTGGTCTGTGAAACATCCACTCATCCAGTGATAATACTGCACAGGTGGATTTTATAATGCGACACTCCATGTGTATCCATACTATTCATGCGCTAATGCTCCTGGGTGTTCCTTTACGCAGGTAAATTGGTGTTTGTAAAGCAATGGAATCGTATTTACATTTTTCCATGCAAATCTTTTGAATATGGGTCTTCCTATGCTTTTCTTCCTTTGATATGAACAGGCTATAAAGAAGTGTAAAGAAGAGAGTGCATAATTGTATTCCAAAAGTATACATAAGCTGAAATCTTGGTTTTCTGTTGATGGAATCTTTTACTGGCAGGTTCAGTATCTCTGGTATTAAAACTTCCCTTCATGACAGTATGCTTCCAAATTGACTAGCAAGCAGGCATCCATCCACAAGTGTTAAAATATTTTACAGTAGGCTGGGTGCCGTGGCTCACACCTGTAATCCCAGCACTTTGGGAGGCCGAGGCAGGTGGATCACCTGAGGTCAGGAGTTCCAGACCAGCCTGGTCAACAAGGTGAAACCCTGTCTCTACTAAAAATACAAAAAGGCAGGCACCTGTAGTTCCAGCTACTCAGGAGGCTAAGGCGGGAGAATCACTTGAACCTGGGAGGCAGAGGTTGCAGTGAGCTGAGATCCTGCCACTGCACTCCAGCCTGGGCAACAGAGTAAGATTCTGTCTCAAAAAAAAAAAAAAAAAAAATCACAGTTAACTTTTAAAGTTTTACTTTAAAATAAAGTAAGTATTTTACATAAGTACTCTTCTTTTCACCTTTAATGTTTTTGCTGAGTCAGACAGATACAATTATTTAGTATATGTTACACGTAAATAATTAACGTGTATGGTGTGCTTACACCGTGCCTCACATGTGCAGAGAAGGTGTCCTGTGTCACGACTGTAATCTATCCGACAGCTTTTCTTAAATCTCAGAAAAAAGATAGTGATAAATAGCGCATTTAATGAATTCAAATGATTAGAACTACATAGCCTAGCTGGTCTACATAGCAACCTTTAAAATCAATAAGCAAACTTTCACATTGTACAAATAATTTGTTTGCATTTTAAAACTACTAAAACACCTCTTGGAGATAATAAAAATAATAATACACCTTTATTTTTTGAGCCAGAGTTTTGCTCTTTTTGCCCAGGCTGGAGTGCAATGGTGTGATCTTGGCTCACTGCAACCTCTGCCTCCCGGATTTAAGCCATTCTCTTACCTCAGCCTCCAAGTAGCTGGGATTACAGGCATCTGCCACCACGCCTGGCTAATTTTTTGTACTTTTAGTAGAGATGGGGTTTCACCATGTTGGTCAGCTGGTCTCGAATTTTAGGCCGCAGGTATTGCACCTGCCTCGGCCTCCCAAAGTGTTGGCATTACAGGCATCAGCCACCATTTGTGAGCCACCGCTCCTGGCCTATTCTCCATTTTAAAAATAGCATTTTATTAATTGTGGGTTGTTAATATTTAAAATCAGTTTTATTTAAATATGTATACACATATATACACACATACTATATTACATTTTAATCAGCATCATTATGTTATCTTGGGAATTATTTTTTTCTTATTTTCAGACTCTCATTTAATGTTTACTACTTAACACTGTGTCCTTCTGTAATCTCAGCAAGTTGGGAGGCCGAGGCATATGGACCACTTGAGGTCAGGAGTTCTAAAGCAGCCTGGGCAACATGGTGAAACCCCGTCTCTACCAAAATTCAAAACTTAGCCAGATCTGGAACTACAGATGCCTGTAGTCCCAGCATCTCGGGAGGCTGAGGCGGGAGAATTGCTTGAACCTGGGAGGCAGAGGTTGCAGTGAGCCAAGATTGCGCCACTGCACCCCAACCTGGGCGACAGAGCGAGACTGCATCTCGAAAATAAAGAAAGAAAGAATAAAAAATAAATAAGACTGTGTTCTATAAGAGACCCTTATTATACTGTGGGTAAAATACATAAGTATCTGGAGACAGGGCTATAGTTAAACTAAAAAAGAATGATAATTTTATTTCTTTTTCTAAAATTGTATTGTTAGAAAGTGATTTATATGGACATGGTAATAGTCGTGCAATAACTCATACTTAAGTGATGGTGCCTTACGCCTTTTTAAATGGCAATTTTCTTAAGTGTTCTGTAGTTAAGCTTACGTGAAGTCAACAAAATGGGTTGTGTGGGCAGTGGTAACAATACAATGTTTTCCGTACCTGGATCCCTGGTTAAAGTAAACTTGCAGATACATTTCTGAACGCGTCATCTTCAAAATTAGGATATAAATTAACTACCTTAGTAACATGCATTTTCGTGTTTCATTTTTTTACGTATGAGGAAAATATCTGTGCTGGAATAGCGAACAGCAGGAAAAGTAAGAACAGGGTAAAATCAGGCTTTCCAAGGTAATATAAGGTCCTGCGGCCTTTGAGAATCTGGTAATAGTTAGAGATCTGCTGTCGAGAAAAATGTCTGGACCTAATAACTAATTGGGACTCAATTTCAATTAGGTTAATACCTAATTCAGACTGGGTTTGAAGAGGGGACCTAATTCTGGACCCCTGGCTGAGATCACCTAAATTAAATCCCAGCATGGATGTGGGCTTGGTTGCTTAAGGTACAAAACCATGAGTCATTCCCTTATAGCAAAGTATAGCTACATTAGTAATTAAATCATGAAAGCTGAACTGGAAAAGTAACAGGAATCAGATATTAATTTGTAAAAATACACTATTTTTTTGTCTAGTAGACTTTATTCAATATTTGTTGCTAAACTCTTTTTGTCAAAACTAAGATATAGTAAGTTACCTGAATAAGAAGAGAGGAAATTTTTAAATATAAAAAATTTAACTAAAATCATATTGAATTGAAGGCAAAGGCCTAACACCAGATATCAAAAGGCTACAGCTATATACTAAATTTATCCTTTTATAAGAAATGTTTGTGGAAATCATGGACTTATTTGCATGAAATTCCATGGATTGTGTTACACTTGGGTTGTCTTGCATTTTAAAGGCAGGGTGATGTACAGACACTGCAGTTGCAAATGCCCCCTTTACCAAGGACTGGTTGTATTCTTTCTCTCTCCTCTCCTGATAGGCCATGCAGTCCTGAACAGTGGCCTCAATTGGTAGCGGGAGTTTTTGTCTTCCTGTCTTTCTTCTTTAAGATTGTTGACTCAGTTTGTTTATTTTTATTTATTTATTTATTTATTTTGAGATGGAGTCTCGCTCTGTTGTTGCCCAGGCTGGAGTGCAATGGCACAATCTCAGCTCACTGCAACCTGTGCCTCCTGGGTTCAAGCAATTCTCCTGCCTCAGCCTCCTGAGTAGCTGGGAGTGTGCCACTATGCCCAGCTAATTTTTGTATTTCTAGTAGAGACGGGTTTCACCATGTTGGCCAGGCTGGTCTAGAACTCCTGACCTCAGGAGATCCCACCTGCTTCAGCCTCCCAAAGTGCTGG